TATATATATATATAATTATATAATTATATTTATGCATATATATATATATATGTATATATATATGATTTATGTATTATATGTGTATATATATATATTATATACTTACATTTATGCATATATATATATATATGATTTATGCATATGTATACATGTATATAAAGATATATACATAATATATATATATATATATACATGGTTTATGTAACGGCATGCTTAAATGCATCGGTTTCTATATGTGTGTGTGTGTGTCTATGTTGATGTTTATGTGTGTATATGTATATACATATACATATATGTATATATGCTTATCTCTTTATTTATGTGTGTGTAGACATGTGGCCATATGTGTATATATACTGTATACACATAGACATAAAACATTTGTGCCAAGCAGCTCGTCAAACTGCGATGCCACGATTTCCAGAGCGCCGGCCTATGTTTCGTTCTGAGGTCTGCGAAAATCAAAGCTTCGACTGAAATGACTTAATAAGGTAACAGCTGTTTCGGAAATCTTGACATTAAGGGTCGAAGGCTTCGTCAGGTCTGAGCACGGGTTTCGGCTGCGGTGAACTGGCTTGAGGCACTGGCCTGGGCATTGTGCTGCCGTGGGTCCTCCATGGGCGAACACTTCTCAGCAGAAGAGGCTTGGGTGCACTCGCTGGGACTCTTGAGGCTCTGGGCTACTGCGAACCTTCCACCGCAAACCCCAAACCCAACACGCGGCCTTCAACTCATGAACTGATCACTGCCCCAAATACGCGGTATTGGGAACCCTGAATAAGGATTGGAAGGTTCTTGCTAAGCTTCCTGCACAGACAAACAGCGAATCGTTGGCTCCCGATGCCCCAAAGCCAGGAATACGTGACACCTCGAAACACGGATTCGGACAACTGCGCATTGGACACAAGTCAGATATATCTGTCAGAGATGTGCATCCTAAACCCTAAACCCTAAACCCTAAAGCTTCAGTTTTCAACTCAAACCTGACTCCCAGTCCGAGACGACGGGAGCTGAACGCTGCCACTGGGGCACCTCGCCTCAGATGAAGCGGACACGGATGATCGTGCTCGTAGCCTCATCGGATCTAAGTAAGCGCACATAGGCGTTCTTCTAATTACTCATGGTGTTCACCTTCAGCCTCTTCGTTTCCGGTGTTGCTTTTGCGCATTTTCATGCATGATCAGGTAGCACTTACTACTTTTCGGACATCCGAGAGGCCTCGGAGGAAGCGCTGCGAAAACTCCAGGAGTGGAGCTTTGGCCAGCGGAGGGGCAGCCCCTGGACAAGTCTCCGGGCTTCGCTTACATGAGTTTGCTTTGTTGCCATACAGGTTATACTGTAATTAATTAACTATAATATAAAAGGGGTACGATGAAGGTTTACTATAATAAGTGCGGGTTACGAGTAGGTAAGCCAAGGTTTACTGCTGGAGTTTCGGGGTCGAGGGCTTTGGGTTTATGGAGTCATCCTGATATGTCTTTGATAGCCGACAGCTGCTGCTGTCACGCGGGTTAGTGACTTCAGGGTGTGGGGTACCGTGTAAGATCAGGCTTCGGAGTAACCTTGGTGACAAAGAGCAAGCCTGCTCGAAGCACGTGGAATGTTGGTGTGGTTTCAAACCTGTACACGAGGCTTCGCAGAACCTACACCCAGGGCTTTCGCTCAGGCTTCAGGGGTTGGGGATTCGATGCTAAGGGTCAAGCAGATAAATATCTCCCTGCATGGAGGTGTAGTGAAAGCCGCTGGACTGCAACCAATACGTTCCCAAAACATGCAACTTCGGGCTACGTGCTCTGAGGTCGGTTTACTCCGACTTATCCGAGCTGCTCCATCCAATTTTCCTCGGCAGCTTCGCAGGTACCGGTCTCGTCGAACCGAGCCGACGAAGCCAACACAAGCTTCGCGAGCCGCAACAGGAGTCCTTTCACCCGTCACTTTTGCGCGAGGCGACATGCATCGCACCAGATGCAGCCAGCTTCCCTCCACCCGCTGGGTTGCAAAAAGCTCCAAGACTTAATCTCTGGCCACATGATTTTCTTACCAGCCAGCAAGCTGCCCTCTCGTGCGTCACTGGCAAGGATGGTCTCAGAACTCGTCACCATAGCCTTCCTCTTCTCCCTCACCTGGAGGAAAGTACCGAGGCTGTGGGCTTCGATAGCTCCATTTCTGAGAAAGATCGCATGAGGTACTAGCTTTGTCACGAATACCCCGAAACCCGAAACAGCAGTGCTCTTTCAGCAACTGGCCTCAAGCCTCCACACTTAAAGCAACTCACGGCCAGAATAAATGCGCTTGAGACTCACACCATCAGCATTATCATGACCATCATGATCCTCATCATCATCACCATGATCATCATCGTCATCATCATCGTCATCATCATCATCGTCATCAACATCATCATCATCGTCGTCATCATCATCCTTAGCCTCATCCTCACCATAATCACAATCATCACGCTGATCATAAAACCCCGTGACATCACGACAGTTGTCATCAATACCACCCGGATGAGACGATCTTGAGTGTTACGACTTCTGTTGCCTGATCACTACTAGAGGACACTTGACCAAACAGATACCACCAGCAGCATGCACACAACTGCGCCAACTTATGATTGGTATCACTACCCGTATGACCTTTCGATCAGTACTGCTTTGCTACTTGGTTCGGGCAGATATTTGCAGGCAAGCAAGACAGTTCTCACCTATCGCCGTAACTAGCAGATACTCACAAGCTTCGTTGACCCCAGATGCAACTCCAAGCCGCGAGCCCCAGAACAACCAAGTCCAACGAGAACATCAACGAAACTGACACTACAAAAGCAACAACAGAAGCAGCAGAATACCACAACACGTAGCCATGACAACTATCTAACCACCCAATCCTCAGGCTACGATCTGACATGCACTGCTGTGGTCAACAAACGCGATGCCTTCGGCCGTTTCGATGCCCACTTCCTCGTAATCCTGTGGTTCAAAGAGAATGCGACAAGGCTGTCTTCATGTGGTCCATGGCGGGGATGGCGGCAATGGTGGCATTGGTGGCAGTCGTGGCAATGGTGGTAATGCTGTGATGTGGAGATAGTGTGATGGTGGTAATGATGGAAATGGCGACAATGGTGGTGGCGGATGTTTAGATGGTTCGGAGGATGGTGACGGTGGATGGTAGTGAATGCTGGGGAATTTTGGCAGTGATGATGATGCTGGTGATGGTGCTAGTGCCGGCGACTGCGGCTGCTACAGTATGACATGCTGCAGAAAGCACAGAAGTAGCTGCGGAGGATTTTGTGCCTGCTCACGATGTGACTCTCGAACGAAAATGCTGAAACTGCCTAATTAGGTTGATTGCCGCTTCGATGCACAGAGAACGGTTCTTTGGCGCTCCCGTTCAGTCACTTCCGGCTTGGAGTCGCAGGCAATGCAAATGGACGCTTACGGGTTGATCGCGATTTTCGTCCCTATGAAAGAAAAGAAGGGTGGTTCTCAAGTCAGGACTGGGCTTTTGTCTATGATATATGACATCCCACGTCAGCCGTATGATCCTATGAAGGACCGACAAGACATGCTGCCTTCTCCAGGGCGGCCAGGTCCTCGCGCGCCTCCGAGAACTCGCCCTCCTCCATGCCCTCTCCTCAGTTGAACATGGTACTTATACTGACGACAGCTTCAGCTATTCCTGTACTGACAAAAACTGGGTGTCACCCTCTCGCTTAGCAATGCAAGTTTCAGAAGCCCGCACCTATTGCCAAGAAGTGCCAAAAATATTTCTGGAAGCCACCCAAGTCTCCGACATAGTGGTGGACAAAAGCACGCTTAGAGTACATCAAATCAAACTTGTGATCGATGCGGGAGAAGACTTCGGCAATGGCGGTGCTGTTTGAGATCCTCGATCGGAAAGCACTCTCTAGCAACGCTTAAGGTTCCCTAGTTGGCCTTGTCTTCGGAGTTAAGACGATGGCCAGAAGTCTGTTGGGTATCATGGGGCGAGAATGCCAGGTGCAAAGGGAACATGGTGGAACATGGTTCTGAATCTAATGTAAGGCACATGCAGCAAGCGCGCATCACCTTTGCCAAATCGCCGCCGGGCACCACCGTGGGCGGCTGGTAGTTGATGCCACATTTGAAGCCAGTTGGACACCAGTCGACAAACTGGATGGTGCGCTTGGTCTTGATGGTGGCCACTGCGGCGTTCACGTCCTTCGGCACGACATCTCCGCCTGAGCCATTCGAGTCGAGCATTAGCCGCAGATTCCGACATGCCCTGCCCACGTGCCACAGTTTCTGAACTCTGACTGCATCCTCCTGAGAGCCACGCGGTACATCATGCAGCAAGCCATGTATTTGCCTTTGTTGATGTTTACTGACCAGCCACACGCTGAAAGTTCAGGGACTCTGCACGTGAAGACTAGCTGACGAACTGCAACCAAGTCACCATGGCGTGGATCGCACTTGACCATCATGGAGGCAGGCTCGAAGACAGACATAGTGATCTCAGCCACGGACAACTGCTCGTGGTAGGCCTTCTCCGCAGATATCACCGGTGCATAGGATGTCAACATGAAGTGGATGCGGGGGTATGGCACCAAGTTGGTCTGGAACTCGGTGATGTCAACATTCAGTGCTCCATCAAACCGCAGCGACGCCGTCAGACTGGAAATGATCTGGGCAATGAGGCGATTCAGGTTCGTGTACGTGGGGCGTTCAATGTCCAGGTTCCTGAGCCGGGTGTCAGAATGCATGGCCAGCAGCTGGTTTTTGAACCGGTTTCTCACTCATTTCCCCTAACCTCGAAACTTCAATTCCCAAAACGGGCCAGTACCCATGAAGGCCCAAGGCGCCTGCGGCAAATATCATACAATGCCTCGTTGTCGTACCTCGGGTCTGCGGAATGTGCATATCAAAAAAACAGCAGCATCCGTGTCGAAGTTCTTGAGGCTGCAGAGACTGCATGGAATGCGAAACGGCACTCTACTTGCTGATGCCCGAGCGGCATAATCGTCACATCCGTGTGCTCTAGCAAGGAGTGCACACAGAGGACCGTGTTGTAGGGCTCTACAACAGCAGTCGCGACTTGCGGGCAACACCAGACAGTGAAGGAGATCTTGCTTTTCTTTCCATAGTCCACCGACAAGCGCTCGAGCATGAGGCAACCCAAGCCAGATCCTGTGCCTCCGCCGCAGGCATTGTAGACACAAAATCCTTGAAGCCCTGTGCCTTGGAAGCGAAGACATCTATGCGAATGCAAGCGTGAATGGGCTTTTCGACTATTTCTCGCAAAGCCACTCAAAATCCATTAAAATTTCATGCCAATTGAAAGCTGCAGAACAGTTGTCGGCAAGCTTCCTGATTCGATCCAAGACCAAGTCAACGATCTCTTTGCCGATGGTGTAATGACCACGTGCGAAATTATTAGCGGCATCTTCCTGCACAGCTGGTGCCATCGTTCATACATCCGATGCACAAAAAACAACATGTCTTGGAATTTGACTGCTTCTGAAATTTAGTGCTCACAACCAAACCACAAACCCCCAAAACAAGTTAGGTGCAGCGATGTGATTCCAAGCCATATTAAGGGCTAAGCTACCAGAGCGCTGAATACCCACAACACTACTGATCCAAACCAACTTCCTCTACCCGAAAGAGCCTTCCCGGAAATGAGCTGCTCGGGGTGAAAAAGCTGCCGATATGTCCCTGTACGCACTTCATCAACGACGGTGGGCTCGAGGTCGACCTCTCATTGCAGACAATGTATGCAAGAACAGGCGCGGATACCGTGCAAAGACACGCTGTTCCGGATTGTTCGTGTCACGTCAATCGCAACCAAGCATCCATCACACAGCGAGGCACGTGTTTGCCAGCACCAGTCTCACTGAAAAACGTGTTGAAGGCGTCCTTACAAGGGTTTGTGCTTGGGATGCCGCACAGCAGCGGGAAGTCTGTGGCCATTGAATTCATGGATGGTTCATGATGGTTCGTGTATTGTGTGACCCACGTGCGACTACACCGAATCAGTGTTTTGACCCGAGGTACAGGCCTACCTAAGCGAAACGCCACATGGCCGGAGCTTCCCATGCCGCACTGCTTCCTCCCAACTACATGTCTTTAATACGACCGCTCAAGTTCTTGGGTAACTTCCGATAACGTGTCGATTCGCGAGCCAAGAAACTACATTCTTTCCTAACAAACCCGAAGCTACGCAGAAGCCTTCTGAGCACATGTTAAACGCGCAAGCCGTCGGCATGTCCTTGCCCCCGTGCCCAACACTCAGTCGTTGGGCAGTCCCACAACATGCACACAAGCCCCAGTCGGCTTGTACGGGGCCATGGTGTACCCACAGTCACAACCGGGCGAACGCAGGGCCAGCAGGAATGTCCTAGCCCCATGAAGCACCAGCTGTTCATGGCGCGGGGCACAAAGACGTGTCAACTTGCGCTCTGTGGTTTTATGAAGTGTATGTTTGGTGCATGCTCAGGAATGCAGACATCACGAGCATCACACATCTCAAGCAGTATCGACGCCCTCATTAAGGAGGCTCATGACATATGCACATGGTCACGGTTTGGCGACTGACATAACTGGCAGTACGAGTCCGGGTCATTCCGGCGAGATCTCAGGCACCTTGCGCCAATAAGAGAATGTCGCGGGCGCATGCTGCACCCGACATGCCCCTTTTCACATGGGGCGGGCCGGGTCCATCAGCAATCAGGAAGTCACGCTTCGAGTCTGCAGCACGGATGCGGAAGAGCTTTGCGACGAAAGGCCGACCCCAGAACTTGCCGGTGCATCCCTCAAGCCAGCAGCCGAATGGAGATCCAGTGGGGCAAGTCTTGCTACGCCACACCCAACCGCGCACAGCATCACGATCAGCTTCACTGGACTGCAACGACATGCGCTGGGCATCAAAAAACCGGAGCCCGCACCACAGCATTAATAGAAAACATTGGATGAGCCAGGAGTCCTCGACAGCAGCTCCCGCCGCCGCATCTTCCAGCTCGCACACTGCACCAAAATAGACCGGCAGCGCTTCTTTGGGCGGCTGATGCGGAATTGGGTTCCGTCATCCCCGTACAGAATGTTCGTGGAGAAGTCTGCCACGAAGGTCTTGTCGTGCGTCAAGCGCACGGACTCCTCCAGATGGACGCGCAGGAGAGCCGCGAATATCTGCAGGCCCAATTTGTGCGCAAGAAACCGAAGAGCATGCACCACACCCTCCGCCGCCCGCGTGCGACGTCTCCCGCGGTTACACATGGCCCCTTCAGCAAGCGCTTCAAGGAAATCAAGCTCAAGCAAGCACACGCACGATGGAGCGCCCACGAGACAGACAAACAGGTGCTGGCAAGACCACTGGCCAGCTGATAGCACTTGAAACAACTGCACCTGGCACAAAAGACCTGTGCACTCAAACATGATAAAATGCGTGCTACCTGTTGTGCTGTGTGATTGCCCCATGCACTAGCCAAGCCAACCTTTGCAAGGGGACCCTGTGCTGCAGTCCAGGTCTTGTTCTCTTATAAACTCGGAAGCTATTGCGCTGCGCTACTCAACCGTTCTGATCTCCGTACATATGTATCTTTTACGAACGGCACGAACACACACGAACACACACCCATGCCCTAAAGGCTCCAGGGCTTTCTATCGGGCACTGTAGCCACCAATCGAGGTCTGTACGGCAACATCACTCTTGCCGGAAGCATCGGCAGATGTCAAACAACTAACACTTCCAAACTGGGCACACACGCCTACGCGACCGCACACACTGTTCAATGGATCGCGTCCACCCTGGGCCTCAGGCAGCTGCCTGGGCCACATTGGGGAGGCATCACAAACCCCTGCAAGTGCACTCGGGCACACAACACGCAACGGGTTGGCATAGCACACCAACCGTCAGCTGCAGCAGCTGCGTTAGCCCATCCGCTGCAGTGGACAACTGTAGCAAAGAAAACAAAGAAGGGAGGGCGGCGGGCTTATGCAAGCGAACCCTGCAACACCCACATGGGGTCCGCACCCTCAACGGAAACCAAAGCCCCTGGCCAACATTGCAAGACGCGGGGCCGTGGTTTGGGAAGTGTTCAGTGCATGCACGGGGCGCACAGGCGCACCGAGACTTCTTGAACTACTACGTGCACGCCAGGCGTGGCCTGAACAATGTGCAGCAGAGGGACAGCTCGATGGTCGGGCCGTGTTGTACTAGAGTTACTAGAGACAGAGCCCTCGCCCCTGAGAAAGCGGTCTAACAAACGTTTGAGGCCATCATGATTGGCTGCGGGCACTCACTGAACTCTATCAAACGCGTGAACCTTATGCCGCAGAGCCGTTGATACTCTTCCATTCGCAGCTGAGGTTCATCACCGCCACCGATCCTAGGCTGTGTGCAAGAGTTGACCAGCATGCAGCATGTCCAGGCAAAGCCGTTCAGTTAATCCTAAACCTGCCGAGCCCGTAGCTGACTCTCATGACAGGCGATGCAGTTCGACTAGAATGACTCAAAATCATGCAACAAATGGATGGCTGTAACTTCAAGGCTCGTCTTGTCCGATGGCATCTGTCCATCCGGCTGGATGCCGTGCTCGAGGCAGAACAGCTCCCAGCAAGCATTGCCGATCTGGACGCCGCCCTGACATGTCACAGAGCATCTTCGAGTATCGAACAGGACAAAGCCGTGACCAACTCGCCAAAAGCTCACTGTCAACTACATGCACTGACACTGCGCCTGTCCAATGTGGATGCAGATGGCCTCGCGCATGGCTGCGAAGTGAAGATCGGAGAGTGTCGGAAGTCACCTCGTGATGCAGTGGCCTCAGGCACCAGTCCTGGAAGAGCCCGCGGCAGCAAGGCAATACAAATCCAAGGAGCCCATGCAGTAGGCCCTGCTTCGGAGATTTAACAAAACAGGCCACAGCTGGGTGGCGCGACATCAGATCTTCGCCAGTTGGGCATACAACGGGACGGGTGGGGGAGCGAAGCATCAGCATGTTTTTGGCGAAGAGGCTCATCAAAGTACCAAGTCTAATCCGGCTTCACCCAATCAAAGCACTCAAATCAACCTGCTTGTCACATCGATGTGAGAAAGAGACTCCGATGTAAGACCAATACAAGTCCATGGAGAGAGCACCCCAAACTTGTCAGGAACAACTGACAGCTCCGGTGAAGACCCTGGTCCTTTACCTTTTGTTGCTCCGTCGAAGTACTCTCATTTCGCAACAGTCAGTATGGTATCACCAGAGTCACTGGAGCATAAGTGTAGTATGACATAACTGTATCGTCAATGGAACTGTATTAAGGAAGATTTTCCTATCTTAACTGTAAACACTGCAAACATACATAACTCTACATAGATGAGTGCTATGAGCCAAGCCCTGTTAATGAATAAAGTCCGGATTCATCCTCGGCGATTCAAGGTTTTTAGTTTCAGGATTCTGCCACACCTTGTGAGTGGAGAAACAACTGGTACGGGCGCTCGCCGAGCCCGTTGGTCCAGTTCACGACCATCGCCTTTGGGAGTTTCAGCTGGTTCCGAGTGACAGTAGAAACACTGCCAACCCCCCACCCCAGAAACCGTGTAGGGAAGTTCCTCCATCCCAATGTCATTACCCTTAGGTCACAGGTGATGCTGCTTCCCAGAGATGGATGAAAGGCGGCAGAAAGACTTGCCGCGATGCTCATGTACAGAATTAGCCAAGACATCCTTCAAGGCCCAAATGTAGCCGCCACGTGCCGGAGTACAAGAACCGAACGAGTCACCGTAGCTCTCGGTGCCTGCTTCGGCATGGCCAGCTTGCAGCGTGCTGAACCCAACACTGAGGCAGGCGCCGTTGGCAGGTCGCCGACTTTCCTTGTGCACACGGACTCACACAAGGATCTTCCACATGCCTCCTCTAGGTATGGCAAGGAGGCAAACGGGAAACCTCTAGCGATGACAACTACTCTGACAAAGACAGGCGAATACTTATCTTGATAGTAGTGCGATGCGAATATTCATCTGCGGAGAAAACTGATGACAATGACGGTATCTTTTGGGGGGCCCTTATAATCTATATTAGCGTCGCTGTTTTCTAATCTCCATGGATGGATGGGGGCCGGTCTGAAGCAGACTCGTAACCGTGAGTTTAACGGCCCTTGAGCTTAGACAAGGGCCATCTCCGATGGTCTGAAGTTCATGGATCTAAGGATTTCAGTCAAGAGATTTGGGTGCTTCGCTGTGATCGGCCCTTCTCTAGCAGCAGTTTAGCATGTGGGTCGGGGCGGGGGTGTAGGGACCCCACACATCAAAACTTCCTTCCACCTCCCCGACATCACTGCCAGGCTGTCTCTGTCTGTCGGCCAAATCAGAAAAGGCCTACCTGACCAACAGCAGGCTTTAAGGTCACAAAGCTTGGACTTCAGGGCTGCTCGATTTGGTCTCAATTGCAGAACCCTTGCTCCGCCAATTCGAAGCCAAGCTTCACCTTGAAGAATTTCAGGGCGCTCTGCATGTCGGCGGGTAGGATCACCTAAACTCTTGTCGTGGACGAGCTTCGGCTTCAGTACGCATGAGGCTGTATATCTAAAGACTAAAGATGTCTGTATGTTGACTTGTTTGTATACAAAGTGAGAAAGGAGATAAGTACACGCTCAAATGTATCGGTATGCACAGATGCACAGATGTATGTTTGTTTGTTTGCACGTACACATGCATGCATGCATGGCTTCGCGTGTACTTGGATGTGTATGCGTATGTACATGTGACTGTACATGCACATTTACATGTGCATCCGCACTTGCACGTGCATGCACATGTACTTGTATGTGTATGTGCAGATGTACATGCACATGTATACACACATGCACAGGCACAGGTATATGTATATGCAGATGGCATTATATGTGCGGTTTGGGTATGTATGTTAAGCTCGCAGCGCTCGGTTCTAAGCTGAACAGCAGCACAAAGCAACTGTACTCTCACACAAGACATCACAAGACTAACTGCTATGCGCTGAAAAGCGCCAACCACATGTGCCGTTTGCGAATGTCTCCAGGCGAAGCAAAGGGCCGACGAAACGCTGTCGGGCCATAATGTTCCCCAACTCGACCATGCAATGCATGGTAAATACCAATGTAAGCCCAATTCTGGTTTGTGCGCATTCGTTGGGTCGGAACCAAGAACCATGAGCATTATCACAAGACCAAGAAAGGAAATCGATAATCAAGAACAGAAGCGTACAAAAGTGACAAGACTTGTGAATAGCAATCACTAGGCGAGCAGCAGCAATAGCCATGCAGCAGAGCAATCGTCGCCCTAACTCTTACACTGCTGTCACGGGTATACCTGAAAAACCGAGCACTCGCCAAGAAGTCAAACCCAAGTTACACCTGCACTCTGACTCTGCACCCAAAGCTTTTGAAGTTTTGCATCGAGGACATCTCGCACATGCAAGGCTGCAAGCACACAGCTCGAAACCGCTTAGATGCCCACCCTACAGCCCCCAAACACGAAAGTCTGTGCGAAGGACCACCGCCAAGCGCTCTCCTCGCAGGGCATTGGCCACCTGCCGGCCAAGGGGTCAGCTTTTTGAGCTTCGACCCAGGCCAAGGGTTTTGCAGGCTCGGCTTCAAAGCATTGAGCACTTCCAGGCTGCGGGACGATCTGGAATGCAGACCCCGGAGCTGCTAACAGTCTCGACTTCATGCGCTTCATCCAACTTCGATCCTTTTTTTGACTGTGCCTGCTTCTCTGAAGAACTCGAGTGTATCTCTGCTTCTTTTGGTACTCAAGCAGTCATTTTGCCAGCCGCAAGACGTTGAAACTATCATAGAATTGCGTAACTCCGACCCTGACACGGCTGCAGATTCCGAGCCTGCCACGAAGCGTTGTAGACCTGTTTCCGTCTTTTTTAGGGTTTCCGCCCCCGGTTTCGGGTCGCAACCACTTGTCACTTGGTTTAAGAAAGGCCCAACCAAAAAGCCTGAAATCCAGAGGAAAGCAGAGATTTACAGCTTAGGCACGAAAAGACTAAACCGATCATTCTATATAACGAGTCCAGCCAGAAGTCTAGAGTTGTAACATTGTACATGGATTGGGATGATTAGTGCTTGGGTTCCCTATGCTTTACCTGAAGAAGGGCACGGATTATATACAACTTGCTGGGGCTTCTGCTTAAGTATCGGGACATTGTCCACGACAGCTTCAGGCTTCAGGTGTTTTGGGCTTCAAGCCTCGGAGGAATTGGGTGATCGAAAAAACGAAACTTGGGACGGAGTGCATGACGACAGAGAATGCGGAATGCGGGTGGTTGGCACTGGGATCCAGGAATTTTAAGGCTAGGCTGGAAGCCCACACCCTGGGTCCTAAACTAGCCAAATCCGAGGAGAAAAGCCCACGCGTAAGTTTGGGGTTTAGGCCTTATGTTTGAAAGTCTTATACGCTGTACGATCTTATACGATACTGGAATATATAACCCCTATATTACAGTATGTTGCATTAATAAGTAGTTAGACCTTTCAAAACCATCACCGCCTCGCGGTAATTCTCGGCCTCGGGATCCAACATGAGTGTCAGCTGCGGCAACGCCGCCGCTGCCTGTCGGGGGCTTCTCAAGGGCTGACTACAGGGCCATTATGGAGTTCCTCCGACGGTTCTATACTACAAAACTGATACAAACAACACTAATCACAACAACAATGACAATAGTAGTAGTAGAAGTGATAAGAACAAGTAACATCTGTTGATGATGATAGTCATAGTGCTGCTACGCACTTTACGGTCTTGCAAAGGTCAGTGAGGTCCCGACTAGAACTTCTGAAACCCCAAACGCTTGAACTGCCAGCCCTGGCCTGGATGTCCGGATACTCGTAGAAGCGCAGCTTCTTTGGGTCGTGCGCCTGCCTGGCGATTGCGGGGTGAAAGCTTTGGGGGACATTTACGATTATTGCTACTCTCGGCAGCATCTCCAGCCCGCACCAAAGAATACGACGGCAACAACAAACAATGCCAAAAAATGAAGAATCACGAAAGCACTAGCAATAGCGAAAACGCCAATTATTCAGCTAGGTATCCTGATAGCTGTCGGAATCGTCACCGGCATAGCTCTAGCTGGAGGTAGCCCCCCAAAACAGCACATCCGAATATGCCTCCCACTGCCCACCGGCCTCGAGAAACGCTTTGGAGGCTCGGCAGCGGACCAGCAAAGCCTCAGGTCTGGGTGTTTAGGATTTAGTGTAGTGCAGCGTAGTACCTGTATCATGTATTCACGTGGGACTGGAGGTGTGGAGTCCTACGGTTAGGACATTGAGGGCTCAAGGTCTTCTGGCTGGTTGGCAGGTCCGAGTGCTGGGAACTGGGGCAGTTGGCTTTGAGATGAATCATGCACATTGCTAGTTGACAAAGTCATCTTAAGAGTTGCACTGAGTAAGCTACGAATACACATTCCAAGCCCCAACCGCGTTTTGTAGCAGGACTCGGGATTCCCGTCTGGGGCTCTTTGTTTAGGCTTTACAGCTCCAAGGCTCAGGGGCGCGAAGATCAGACAGGCCGCGGAGCTGGGGATGTGCAAGTCGGCTCACAAGCACCAGCTCCTACCGAAAGCAACACCCCACCCACCGATCCGGCCAAGAAGCTGCAAGGCCAGGAGGAAAGCGGCATGGCTTGACATGAGGCATCCAGGCGTGTTTGTCTACTGTCAGTCTCCTCAAACACTGGTGCTCAAGGCGCATGCAAGCATAGCCGCAGACATTAGACTGATTAGACATCTGTCGTCTTATGTGATACATTGCGCTACCATGTCAGGGTTATGCAGGATTCAGGGTAGGAGTCCGTGAGTGTGTACTGTGAGGAACCTACCCAGTGACTTATCCAGTGCTCCAAGAACAGCCGGCGCCACTATGGGCTGCGGCTGTATTGATGACTTCGGCTTGTGACATCGTTTTTGTGCTTTAATTTGCTTTCGAGCTGAGCACTGTAATACTTGCAAGAACCCCAGCAAGTGCACTGACACACCCAGTCGGCGATACCGGGTGCCAGGAAGCTGCTCAAAGGGGTGATAGGCGACGCAAACGGTGTAGCAGTCATAAGTTCCCTTTGTGTTGACATTGTTGGCCCTGGCCCTGGCATGAAGTGAGGAACATCATCTAGGACTCAGCACATGTCACATTGCATGGCAGCTCCAAAAGACCATGATTCCGACATATGTCACAGATACCAACTAGCGTAACTAGCGACTATCGCTTGCACGTTTTCGGTTTCGTTCCGGCGTACGTGTACAGACGCATTTCTGCATGGAGATGACACTACCACTGGACATGTAACTCCTCCCGCACGTCGGAGCTTCTGCGCGATGCCGCAGGCATGGGAAGCCATCATCGGGCAACTCCGGAGTGCCAAGCACTTAAACCTCACCTCCTGGAAGCCTGACGAGGATAGCACTTCGAGAACGAACCGAGAACCGCCGTGAAGTGTTGAATCTGTCCCTAAACTCCTGCGAGCTGCCCTGCTGTTTGTCCCGCTTGTCAGAATTCGTCTACCAAGACATGAATGACATTCGGGCTTGGTTTATTTTAGCTCGGTCAGCGGACGATGCCAAAGCCGCATCTTGACGTAAGTGCTCGGGCTGCCCAACGCGGTGCATAGCTGCTGCAACTTACAATTTCGATTTTCACACGGGCCCCACGCTAAAAATCCACGAAACCTGCCGCACAACTTTTTGCTTTCGAACGGGCTCCTCCCAAGAGGGCGGCACAGCCGCTTTCGAAACCGAGGACCGAGGCGCAAATTGGGTTTTTGGGGTTTGCGTTGGCAGTGTTAGGGCTTGGGCCAGTTTAGGCTTTTGAAAGCTAAGGTTTTCGGTGCAAAAGGGACGTTAGGGATGAGGGCTTGGGGCTCGAGGGCCACGAAAGGCCCACTAGAGGCTCCCCAGGAAAGTGCTCCTTACTTTGAGGATCCTACGGGTCCTATAGGAACCCTACCACGGGTTCATGACCTTGTTGTTCAAAGCTCATCATTTATCAGGAACAGCTGGCTTCATTATACGCCGGCTCTGCCAAATCGCATAAACCCACCAAGCAGGAATTGTACCCTAAACCCCTAGGTACCCTATAATGCGTGCTGACTGCCGCTCGGCATGGTGCTCCCTTCCTCTTTCCTTCGGCACCAGGCCGAATCTTCATCCTCATCGGTCCTAAGGACCCTGCAGAACAGGACCCTTAGTGCAAGGACCTCCCTTAGCTCCTAAGTTTCAACACACAAACCCTGTCAGTGCAACCTGGGGGACTCTCGGATGCTCGGCCCTGGGACAGAATCTTACCTGCTCGGCGGCGCTGAGCTCTGAACTTGGATTTTTTTTTTTTTTGGGGGGGGGGTGGTATCTTATAGCACAAGCATATTTGGGGACTAGACTAAAAAGGTCATAATATTACGACGGTTTCAGGCTGCTGCATCTCGGATTTTGGCAAGCTTGGAGTGTGGGCCTTTAGCCGTTAAGGGTACCACACTTGAAGGCCCCAGGTACTTGACGGTCCTCCAGGGGCCTTAACAATATGAATCCCCAGAGGCAATTCTACGAGGTTCACTCCAAGAATTGTGGAGGGCTACCCTCAAGCCCAAGCATAACTAGCTGGCTCACATGAACGTTACGCCGTTATGCCGAGTTGTGTTCAGCTTCTGGATTCGCTGCCTGTCATTCTATAAATGACGAAACCAGATTAAGGACAATTAGTGCTGGATTCCCTACTTAAGGACTGAGGCTATTGGGTTTCTAACTTTTGGGCTTCTACTGTAAACCCCGAAAGGACCACGATCAAGTCCAAAGAATCGTAAACCCCAGGCAGAGCACAGCGCCCAATTCTCGGCATTGAAGAAGGAGATCTGCTTCGCGACCACTTCTCCACGCTGGGGACACCGCTAAGCTGCTGGTGGAGAAGGCGACGGTTGGGATCTGGTGGGTTAAGGCTTAATTAGGGTCGGGGGTTTGGCAGTTTTGGGTTTGTCACAGGCTTAGAGCGTTCTTTGGCTGCTTCTGGCTGAGAGCGCAGGAGCTGCTTACAGCCTAGTCTCAGTGCAGTCCTTTGTGCGCTTGTCTTTGTGGTTTCGCCCACTCCTTTCGACCGGGGAAGGTGGCAGAAACCACGAGGTGCAAGCAGTGTGTCACTGCACGAGTGAAAAACTCAAAGCCGAAGGAAAGAAGCCTCCAGAGTAACAAGAAGCACCACCGAAAATCTGACTCCTATGTTGGACTCTTAAGGATCAGGGTCGGTGGTTGCTAGACGACCTTCACATGAGCATGGAGGCTGCTTGTCAAGTATCCACATCCCTCAAAGATCTACGTCTAATTTGCATCTGGGCTGTCTTCCGCCCAGCAACGCTCTTTGCAAGGCTCTCTCGGCTTCCGGGAACCAGGCGCGTTAGGGTCGAGGACTCAGGGTCTCGGGTTCAGGGATACTTTTGCCACGGATCCTGTGAAAGGCAGTCACGTCAAGGTCATATTCTCACTTTAACTCTACCTGGGCTCTCTCGGAGAACTACTCTAGTCGTTGTTGAGGCTCCCATAATGGCCTCAGCGCTTGCGGGGAAAGGTCCCATCTTTGGCGGCCCAATAATCAGGGGGGGGGACATCGTGAAATTCACACAGCGTGACAGCTCGCCTACGTTGTGCTGCTACCGCAACGTTCGAGACTAGGGCTTCAAGATGTATACAGATACGAGTATATATAATATATGGAGTGTATATACCATTGAGCCGCTGGCACTGAACCGAACCCACAATATGAGCCACGGCCCGATGAGCCACTTCTCCAAATCTACGCACTTTGCAGGGTGTGCCCGGAAGTTCGTGTCGCATTAACTGCGTGAAACCCAACGGCAGGGATTCCATTTCGACGACACTTCTAAATCGAACGAAGGTCCGCTTTGCCTTCGTCACTCCACCTCGGCAGTGTTCAAACTACTGCTCATGGCAAAGTAAAGCCGTCAAGTTGGGATACGTGTACCCCGTACCTATGGATTGGATACTTCCTTTCACCTCGGAATGGTTCGCAGATCCTGGTAGGTGTTGCCGAAGAAGCTCGAGAATGGTTGAAGATTGCCGCCGCACTGCGCGCATCACGGCAGAGTCATCTCTAGAGAAGTACTTCGACGAGACTTCTTCGCTAACTTTGCACCCAAGACCACTCGCAGAGTAAGAGCCGTCGTGGAGAACAGGCATGATAATATATGAGAACAGCAATGACAACATCATGAGAGCAGAAACAATTAATGACAATAACATGGATGCAATGCTGATTATAATCGTAGCAGCAACACCGACCCAAGCGGAATGCCCCACCAGTAGGCTCTTCGGATGTGAACGGGTTTAGGGTTTGACACATGACCAGGGCTGCGGCAATGTCGATCTTTGGTGCCTGTCCAGGAGCGAAGAACACGCAAGATAAGGTATTTCAAGTTCAGAACTAAAAATTATGACACCTCATCCATTCAAAGAACCGTCACCAGAGCGCATCGCGCCCTGCAGAACCTGCTGAAGATGGGACTCCAGTTCAGTCCAAACAGTCCTCAACTCAAACCTCAAGCCCTCAAGTAAGGCTTAAACCTTCTTGGAGCTTGAAGTCTCCTAGTCTGTTAGTCCCTGATATTTTGTTACTGTATACCCCAAAAACCTAAACCCTAGATATCTTCTAAACGCCCGAGCTCCTCCGTCGGTGGGACAGTGCCCAGGTTCAGGTCTTTCGCAAAGCCCGAGAGGTCCACCTGCTTTTGAAGGTTGTAAGGGCCTCCACAAAGTCACTGTTCAGAGGCGTAGGGGTTGCATTGGAGTTTAGAGTTTCAGGGTTTGGGCTAGATCTTAGGCCGCCATCGCGGGGCTTTTGGGCTCTCATGGACTCAATAGGGACAGCATAAAGACAACCGTTCACGATATGAACATGTCAAAATTCAAGACAACGGCAGCAACAACAACGACGACAACAAGCAAACGCAACCACTACCACTACCACTACCACTACCACTAACGGTGGCGGTGGTGGTGGTGGTGGTGGTGGTGGTGGTGGTGGTGGTCGTCGTGGTGGTGGTGGGGGTGGGGGTGGGGGTGGGGGTGGGGGTGGGGGTGGGGGTGGGGGTGGGGGTGGTGGTATGGTGTATGTGGTGTATGTGGTATATGCGGTGTATGTGGTGGTGGTGGTGGTTGT